TTTTTATTGATTTCAGAGAGGAAGGGAGAGGGAGTGAGAGATAGAAACATCAATGATGAGAATCATGGATCGGCTGCCTCCTGCACGCCCCACGCTGGAGATTGAGTCTGCAATCTGGGCAGGTGCCCTGACTGGGAATGGAACTGTACCTCCTGGTTCATAGGTCGACACTCCATCACTGAGCCATGCCAGCCAGGCCATTTGCAATATTAAAAAAAAATAATAATAAATGCAGGGATATAAGGATGCCTTAGGAAAAGATGAAGGTCCAGAAGCTAAAAGTACTAACAAACAAATGACCTCCCAGGTGGCTTTGCAGCCCGTGTGGGGGTGTGTGTCTCCTGGGGGGTGGGGGAGGGGGTCAAGACAGATGCAGAGTGAGTTTTGGGGTCCGAGGGAAGCATGCGGCCACGGGTCTAGTGCGTTTCTGTGTCTCTGGGAGGAGAGGCATGGCTGTCTAGGAGAACTGGCACACGAGTTCGTTTCTTCCCTAGTTCCCTTGTTTCCAAGCCAAGGGAGCTGTCTCTTCCAAACTCCTTCCCACTCGTCATCATTAAGATGAAATGACAGTTATGCAACTCAGCCCAGCAAAGGAGCCCGCACCACGTGTGGCCCCCAGAGAGAGGAGTCCCGGGCAGTGCCTCTGTGCCAAGAGGGAGAGCCATGTGGTGGGTGAGAGAAAGGCACCCAGGGCCAGTCTCAGGACAAAGACGTCACGAAGAATTAAGTTCTCATGCCTAAAACTTACTAGTATTATTATGTGTGATCGCCAGAAAATAAAGGAAAGAAAACAGCCTAGGACAGCGGTTGGCAAACTCATTAGTCCACAGAGCCAAATATCAACATTACAATGATTGACATTTCTTTGGAGAGCCATATTTTTAAAACTTAAACTTCTTCTAACGCCACTTCTTCAAAATAGACTCGCCCAGGCTGTGGTATTTTGTGGAAGAGCCACCCTCAAGGGGCCAAAGAGCCGCAGGTGGCTCAAGAGCCGCAGTTTGCCGACCACAGGCCTAGGAAATTTGAAATTCTGCTCGAGGGTAATAAAAAAAAAAAAAAAAAAAAGATTCTTACTTTTCGGCCATGACCTGATAGATGTGGAATTTGCTCATGAATGTCACCTTTGTACATATCCACCTCGCCTTTGTCAGATGGCTTTGTTTCCTGAGCTGACGTCCTCTTTTCATTACTTGGGTTGTAGACGTGACTGTCTTCCCTGAGAACGTGCGGTAGGAGAGGCTGAGAGGCTGAGGCTGAGGCTGGAGGTCAGGCCTGTATGTGGGTGACACTGACTCATGTCCCCCTCTCTGGGGACAGTCGCTGGGGGCATCATAGCGGGACCGTGCCAGGTGGTGAGAGGAGAGGGGACAAGGCAAATTCTCTGTCAGTGGGACTCCGTTCACTACCATTCATTGCATTTCAGTCCGCAAATCCCGACACCTTGCAGCCATGAGGATGGAAATGAAGTTCAAAGTGGCAACGGCACGTTTCAGGGAAAACAAGTTGTCTTTGCCAACTTACGTTCACCGCAAACACTGCTTATTGTGCGATTCTCACGGCCGGCTTGGTAAATTCAGGGTACGCCTCTGTTTACGGTTGTTGGAAACCCTTCAAAGCAGTATTTTCTTAGACAAAGAACCTTTAGATGCAATGGAACCAGCCACTTGTGGAGCCTGAGCCTCCTCGCTTCACTGGCATTGACCTTTGCACCCGCAGTGACCTCTGCCCCTGGCTCCATGTCAGCCACCCCTTGGGCCTCGTCACCTCCGGGAGAGGCTCCATGTCTACAGCATCGCATCCCAAGATCCGGTTCTCTCAGCCGGCCTCACAGACCCTCTGCCGGTCACCCGCTCCCCTCTGTGCCCACTCACTGGTGGAATCAGCTTGGTTTTGTGGCCCAACGAGTGAGTCACTTTATTGTCTGTGTCCGAACCCACCTGTCGGGGCGCAGCTGGCCGACCTGCAGAACCTGCTGGAGGAGGTCATTCAAGCACAAAGCTTTGTGCCTCTGACTCTGGGGAGGTGGATGCCCCCTCCCTCTGCCTGGCCGATGCCTACTGAACCTTAGAGTCCATTTCCCACCAAGTCTTCCGAGCTCCCTGGTTTAGGTGCTAATGCTGAGCACTTTCCTAGCGACCTGTCTGTCAACTGTCACAGCAGCGTCATCCTGGGCGAGAGGGCTGTTCCTCTCTGTTCCTGCCGATGCTCAGCTCTTTGAGGGAAGGCACCTTCCTCATCTCGTATCCCTTCTTGCATCCTGATTGCCCCTTGTATCTCATGACCCAGTGAAACAGCCACCAACCTGTAGACAAATCCGTTTTAAATGTCCGTGGACTCCACCAATTGTCACACTCACAGGAGAGGTTCTGTTCCTGTCTTAATTCACGGGCAAGAAACAGGCCAATGAAGCGATCAGACTCTGTCCAGGAGTCCAGGTTTTTCATGGTATGTAAAGTTAGTGAGGAGTCAATGCCCGGTTTTGGAATTCAGTGTCGTGTTAGCTTAGGATGCGTGGCCGCAGGTTTTTGTGATCCGTGATTGCGTGTGAACCGTGCTAAGTGTCACTGTGAGAGGTGAGGCAGAACAAGGGTCAGGCTCGGGCGCTTTCTCCGTGTGCACTCCTGTTTTTTACCAGGGACCGTATCTTCCAGATGGTTCATGACTTCTTGGCACAATTTCTTATTATTTTAACATTTCTATTTTTCTTTGTAGTCAGCAGTTTACACTTTCATATTTTTTTTATTATACCCGTGGGATGTAAGCTCCATTTCATTTTACTATTTTTCAGATAATTAGAAGCAACGGTACGTCAAACCATTTAAATAGCGTTGGATACTAAATCTAAACATGTTGAAACCATAGCATAATTTTTATTTATTTATTTATTTATTTATTTATTTATTTATTTATTTATTTATTTTTCCTTTTCATTACCATAGTTTTTTTTAATTTGGTTTTTTTCTCAATAGAACTTTTTAATTTGTCCATTACAGTTGGCATATAATGTGAGTTTCTGGCACAGACCTAGGCACCAGGCACCTCTGTCACTTGGGAGGCAATGAGAGAGCGTGTGAAAGGAGCAGGGCAGCCGAGCAGACGTGGGGGGGAAGCTCTTCGGGCTTCTGCAGAGTGCAGGTCGGACCACACTCCACGGAGAAGAGCTGTCGACGGTTTTCTTTGGGCGAGACAGAGTCTGCAATTGGTGTAAGGGGCGCCATCTCGTAACACCTGGCGGGGCGATGTGCCAAGAAGGACATGGGATTTCAGCGCCCCCCCCTTCCCCCCCCTGCCCCCCTGCACCTGAGGCCCCGGGCGGGCGGGTGTGGCAATGCGGACGTGTCCCAGCTGCTCCGGAGCTGAATGGGGCTGAAGGGCGCTGCTTCTCGGCCCGGCCTCGCCCTGATCAGATGGATAAGAAGGCCTTGGCGAAGACCCGCTTTCTCCCCTGCGGGCCGATTGTTGGGAAGGGAGTCTGGAAGACTTTGTTAAATGTTTGCTGGAACCTCCGTGAGGATGTGGGATCTTTTCTAGGTAACTGGGCCATCGGCAACTCAGTGTCAGGCATCTTTCTTTCTGTAGTCCATGCAGCCTTTTCTGCGGGGGACAGTTTTCCCACAGCCCAGCGTTACAATAAGACGCTCTGAAGTGTTGCCCGGCCGGCGTGGCTCGGTGGTTGAGTGTCCACCTATGAACCAGGAGGTCATTGGTTCGATTCCCAGTCAGGGCATTTGTCTGGGTCTTGGGCTCCATCCCCAGTGGGGGGGGGGGGGGGGGGGGTACAGGAGGTAGCCGATCAGTGATTCTCTCTCATCATTTATGTTTCTATCTCTCCCTCTCCCTTCCTCTCTGAAATGTGTGTGTGTGTGTGTGTGTGTGTGTGTGTGTGTGTGTGTGTGTGTATGTGTATATATATTAATTTTGGAGTGTCGTTAGCAATGGCGAAGGTCCACGAAGGTCCCACAGCCACACGCTCATGGTCTTGTGCAGGGGGCAGCAGTTTCACCGCCAAATGAGAAGGCGGCTGTGCGGTGACATTGTTGGTGCCGTTAGGTCCTCCTGCGGTGGATGCTCTCAGCGGTGAAACGCTGCAGGAAGACCTTTGTCGCACTTTCAGGAACCACAGAGACCAGGAGGCAGCTGCATTCCTGGTCTTTGTTGACGCCATTGTCTTCCACACGCCTCCCTGTCCTGGCTCTGCTTTGCAAGCCTGCCTTTGAGCCCGAAGGATTTCTCCACGTAAATGTGTCAAGTGTGGCACATCCATCGCCGCTTTGCTTTTGAATTACAAAGTTCACCTTAAGACGCAGGCCTTACGCTACGCGGGCACCGCACTGCCTGCAGATGGGGAGCCGGGGGGTGCGGGGTGGGGGTGGGGGGAGTAAGTGATAGCAGAGAGGATGGAGGGGATGAAAAAATGGTTCTTTCCATTAAATCGGACCTGATGTTGTTCTCTGTGAAGCAGGCAGCAGCTGGAGGAGAAATACTTTCTCGCCCACAGACAGGCTGATGGCGAGGGCAAGGGGAAGTGTGGAGGGGATGGGGGTGTGCATACGGGTCCTACAGCATCGGTATCTCAGGTGGGACTCATGCCACGGTGGTGGCTGCAGATGCTTACGCGGATGCCGGGCTAGGAAACCCTTCTGTGGGTGACGGCTCTGTGTTCTGTTAAAAAGCACCTTGGGCCGAAACCTGTTTGGCTCAGTGGATAGAGCGTCGGTCTGCAGGCTGGAAGGTACCAGGTTCAATTCTGGTCAAGGGCATGTACCTTGGTTGTGGACACATCCCTGGTGGGGGGTGTGCAGGAGGCAGCTGGTCGATGGTTCTCTCTCATCAATGTTTCTAACTCTCTATCCCTCTCTCTTCCTCTCTGTAAAAGATCAATAATATGTATATATATATGAAGGCTTTCCCTTAAAAAAAAAAAACACACACACACACACCTTGGACTTTCCCGCGTCCTCCTCTCCTCCACTTCAACGCTGTGCTCTTCCTTGCAGGGTTGCCGAAGATGCAGGTCATCAGGAACTACGCCGGGACGCCGCCCCCCGCGCCCCACGAGGGGCCCCCGCTGCACATCCAGGCCGGGGACACGGTGGAGCTCCTGCGGGGAGACGCGCACAGCCTGTTCTGGCAGGTACGGTCTCAGGGGCACTGTGGACGGGAGGGGCGGCTGGGCACCGCGTGGGGGGGAAGCTGGTCCTTACTAACCTTCCTCACATGGACCGATGCCAGCGCGGCAGTGAACGTGAGCACACGCCAGCCGCCCTCCCAAGGTGAGGCTCCAGCTCAGGCTTTCCTGGCCGGCGGGGCGCTGGGTCTGCGGAGGGTCCCCGGTCAGACCCTGCTCCGTGGGCCATGACGCCGTGACGGCTGCCTCACGCGTCTCGGGGCCCAGGCGTGTCCTGTGTCCTCCAGGGAGGGTGCTGATTTTTCCATCTGTCCGGCTTCTTGCTTGTTGGGGTGGAATGGTGACTTCTGATCATCTCACACGCGGGCCTGGAGGCCGCAGCCTCTCCGTACCACGCAGTGCTGCTGCCTCCTCCTTCTTAGACATCATCGCTTGTCCTTCTGTTCAGCGGACGGGAGCATGAAGCCTCTGAGGGCAGAATGATGGCTTGGGAGCTCTCAGGAGGACTGAGAACTGGTCGATGACAGCACGTGCGTGTCCGATGGGGGAGGGTGTGTGACAAGAACAGGGGCAGCTCATGTCAGGACAGAGAAACACAATTAGCACGTCTGTTTCAGGCTGGCGAGGGCGTGTTGAGTGTCAGCCCCATCTCCGCCGCTCAGACACGGCTCGCACTCCGTTACCAACTCCGACCTCGGGTCTCCCGTCCCTGGAAAGACCGTTCACGCGTGCTGGCGCTAGCGATGTGTTTGAACGTTCAGAGGCCTGTTAAAAGCTCGTGTGCGTTTCCGGCAAAGAGGTGGCATGAGTGGGAATTGTCCCACGGTTCCCTCTAAGCCAGTCAGAGAGATCGGCTCAAACAGGCCCTCTTCTCTGCTCTTGATCGAAAGGAGCTGCGGGAGAGGAAGGACGGCTGGTTCAGGCCAGGCTTAAATGTCAACACATAAGCCCCTTCCAGGGAGGGGGCTGCAGCTGGTCTGGCTGAACCCAGGCGGGATCCTGTGTCTAGAACCCCAGACCCATTTACTGCGAGCCACTGACTAGCTGACAGACCCGTTGGTAAGGTCCCATGGTAGTTATGGCCATTAGCCCCCAGCTCACCGGTTAGTTAGTCACTGGTAATAAACCATCTCATTAAGCGTAGCTACAAAACGTGGTGTTACAACAAAGGCAGTGCTTTGGCTCTGATAATTACCAGACAAAGAGTACATTTTCAAAGAACTAGGATGCAATTAACGTGTACTTGGCCACGGCCTTCGTACTGAACTTGACTGACTTGTTTTCTTGGGTTTACAAGGCACCTTGAGGCCTTGCAATGCCCCCGGGCAGTCATGATACAGAATCAGGTTTTGTTTTGTGGTCGGTACCTGTGGCAGGCCCCCGTAGGAAACTGGCCCGAGTGTGGTCTTACCAATGGAATGTTCTAGAATGACGGACTCTTTCCTCCTGTGTGGAGAATGCTGCTGGTTGGACCCCTTTGGAGTCAGTGAATCTGCAGGAGTCCACACGCATCACTTTGCCAGCTCATGCTCACAGAAGACGGGTGCCTCATGGTCTGCATCCTGTAGGAGCGACTCCTGCGCTGAGCTTCTTAAAACTGGCTTTGGAGCAGGGAGTGCCTCAGCACCGCTCTCGCCTGCTGTCCCAATGGTTCGTCCTCATTTGTGGTTGCGGGAATCTCCACCAGAAGAGCGGAGGAGGGGGATGGAGGGGTGGGGAAGGTGGGTGGGAGGGGGAAGGCTTGTCTTCCCTGGGCTGGGAGATCAGAGAGTGCAGCTCACTTTGCTGAGGGTCAGTCACCAACTCTGCTATCAACCAGCAGAATCAAGTTCAGGAGATGCTAAAACCCCTGGCGGCCTCGGCTTTATCCTCTGCAAAAGGCAGAATAAAATAAATACGTGCTCATCACTGCTATGGAACAAAAGCTGTCATGGACACAAGAGTTCGATCGCAGTGCTCTTAAACGAAGCTCCTCTCTGTCAATCCACTTATCATCCATCCAAATACTAATAACATGCCTACTATGTGTCCAACTCTGTGTTTCATACCGGCAGGCCCCTCAACAAGACAACTGGTATCCAACCTCTTGGTCTTCACGATCTAAGGAATGACCAGATCTTACCAATGATGAGATTTGTTTCTGTTCTAAGTTTCTGGTAGGGCGTTTGTCAATCACATCGTCACCTGTATATCTAGCGGTAAACCTGTGGAGAAGAATCTAGATGAGTTATTGGGATGGTACAGTGGTTTGGCCTTGACATTTAAACATGGCTTTTGTCCTGGTCACGTGCTTCGTCTTATTTGGAAATGTTCAAGAAACGATGCTTTGCTAACTAAACTGTTCTGCCCTCTGTTTTTTTTCAAGTGAGTCACTTCCCACATTAGTGTAGAAAGTCGGATATTGTTGTAGACGGACACGTTTTCTGAATACTCTGTCCAAAGAATGCAAATCCTCCTCCTCTGTCTATCAGGAACTTTCTCTGAATAGCTATCAATCTCGTCTTATTATTATAACCACAGTAATTTCCAGTGCTATTGAAGTGGTGGGCTCTCTGTGGTCTTATTGTAACTTCTTTCCAACAACGAGCTGCCAATTAGCTGTAAAACGGTCTCTGTCACATCTTTGCATCGAGGAGACTTATTTGGCACCGTTTTCTTTCTCCTTTGTTCTCTTCTCTCTCCTTGAAAGTTCTGTGACATTGTCTTCAAGTGAAGTGAGGAGAGGAGAGGAAACGGGCCAGTTAGGGCAGTTGCCCAGTTCCATCGTGAGGCCTCCTTTGGACTGAGTGTGACAACGTGTAGAACAATCCTGATCGGGTCGCTGACTGAGGATAAACCTGCTGCTTTCAGGTTGTTCACAAGGACTTAGTCATGAAGGAGAACATGCTTCATGATGAAAGAGATTGTTCAGATAAGAAGCTTCATTTTCCCAGGAAAAAAATACAGATTATCAGGGGTGGGAGTAGGGGGATAGGGAGGAGAGAATGAGGGAGGGAGGAAAGGAGGAAGGGGGAGAGAGAGAGAGAGAGAGAGAGAGAGAGAGAGAGAGAGAGAGAGAGAGAGAGAGAGAGAACAGGCAAATGTAAAATCATGCCATGTCATGTATGGTTTCTATACAGTAGAGTGCTTCATATGTGTTTTCTTCTTAGAATTAAGCTTTCTAACAGTGAGGGGTTTTATTGGCTCCACTGTCATTGATGAATGCCCAGTATCTCACGGGAAGGATTTTGTAAGCTAGTTGGGACCAAAAGGCAATTACAAGCAGTAGAACTGTAATCATGGTATCAAAAAATGTATTTTTATCCACTGTGAGACTTAAGTAACCTAGAAAGTAGTCATGACTCTTCACACTTGCAGACGAGGCATCCACATGACCTTGAATCCAAGAAGCGAACATGTGTCTGCACACATTCTGATGAGTGCACAGACAACCACGCAGAGGGCAGATTCGCTCCGTGGGTTTAAAAGGCCAAGTGCACCCATCTATAGGACGGCATTTGCGGAATTAGAATCAGGCTCTCCCCAGACTTCCGGTCCCCTCCCCTCATCCCAGGCATTAGGCGATCCTCCTGTGCTCTGGAGGGTTGTTCGTAACGGCTCCACCTCTGAGGGAAGCACACCTTTCCAGCAGTCTCATTCTGCTTTGGTGGAACCTGGCTTTGTGCAGCAGTGTGCTGCTTTAAACATTTTTGTAAGTCTTGGCCTCAAGAAAAGAATGGAAAGTCAGGAAATAGGCTGAGCTTTTGGAGAGTCCCAGGAGGAAGGACTCACCCTGCGTACACGGATTCCAGAGGCCAGGAGCCCGTGGGAGGGGTGAGGGTGGGGGTGAGGGTAGGGGCAGTGCTTGTCTTGGCCCAGGCAACAAGGTGTTAAACTCCGCTCTCCCACGTCTTCGCCCACAAGACTCTGGTCCCCAGTGCGGCAAGGTGACCCCTGTCTCCCGTCACCTTGTCCAGGATTTCTGCTTCCCACGTGACTGCTGCATTTCGTGTTCAAACAAACAACAGCCTTTTTTTTTTTTTTTTTTTTTTTTTTTGTAAATAGATGTGTTTTTTCTCACTTTTACCCAGGGGGGAAATGAAGGGTTCATGGGAGGAGTCTTTTCCAGAAGAGGCATGTTTTCTCAGTCCTCAGTCATGGATGTATGTTTCACCTCCTGCCTGAAACGTCTTTCTACCTGTATTCTCTCAGCTGCGTCCTTCTTGATCATGGAGGCTCAGCTCAGTTCTGCACCTTCTCTGAGCCAGAGGGGCTTCCATTAGACCCCCCACCGCGCTGTACCCCAGTGGCCTGTTCACCCTTCTCCCTGCCTGGTTAGAGGACTCGGGAGAGCTGAGGCCCCAGCTTCCGTCTCTCTATCTCTAGTCCTTAGACGGAAATAGGCAGCCGGTCCACGGGCTTAAAACCGATCACTGTTCAGAGCTGCTATTTTCAGAACATGTTCTTTACAGGTTTTCACATTCGCTGTTTATTAACTCAAGTTACTCTCCGTGTTGTTATTTGAGAGACCATTGAAATATTCATTCATCCCATCAGATCTAAATGCATTTCTGTTCCCTCGGGATAGTCTGAAAGCCATTTAACCTTGTGGCCTCAAATTCCTCACCAATAAAATGGGGATTTGAACACGTAAATGACGCACAAGGGTGGGGTAAGAAATCATAGGACGTAAACCTGAAAGAAAATGGAAAAGGAGAAAGAATAAATGTCTGTGTGATAGCTGGTGACTCTGAAAGCCATGCTTCCTTTTCCAGAGGTGGGAAAATGATTGCCAAGTTGGTTTTTATTTTTTATTTTTTAAAGTTCATCTTTCCATTAATAATTCCAAGAGTTTCATACATAGAAGACCACTCTACCCTCCCTATCCCTGTACTCAGTTCTTAAAATTCTTTGATCAGGTGTTAAACGTTCTTTTTTATAATTAGACATAAAAGCACAAGCGAGGCATTCTTAAGGAAATAGTTGTCAACGAACAGGCTGAAATCCTAAGCCAGCCCTTCATGCAC